ATCTCAATTCTATTCTGGAATTACTTGAGATAAGAGTTACAAACACTTCCCTGAAGTTTGTTTGTTCCATCAAGCTACTATGCGTTTTTAACGACACAATGTCTTGGTCCTCATAATTTTGGCCCCACCCTGTAATGCCCCAAAAAGCAAGTGGCGAAGTGGCCTAGTGGACCACTGAGCTCTATGGTGAATTAGCCTAGAGATAGAGCTTCTTTACGGGAGTAATCGACTGTCTTGATAGAACTAATCGCGAAACGTGCCTTCAGATTCAGTTCCTCCTGAGTACATAAGGAGGGTCAACCCTGGAAATCTCTACAGTTCTGCGTAGAACTTCTGGCAGATCTTATTAACATATATTACATATAATTCATAATATTACAAATCCTATATTTCAGAACAATTTGATAAGTAAATGTCCTCGTCTACCTTATAAAAGACGCAGCTCAACAGGTACCAAACGAGGTAGGTAATGAGCTTTGAAATTCTCGAAGTAATTGACACATACAAGTTTTATGGACTACTAGTGGATTTTAGGATCTCCTTCGAGGTAGAAACTACGATGAAAAGGCAGCCTGTTGGAAATCAAGGTAGAGGTGGTCACTTGTAGGGATGAAGGAAAACACAAGAAAATAACCGGTGACCCGGAGAATGGGACCCTTTTTTGCCTTTCCATTCCAGGGAGTCTGGAGTCTCATCGGTGTGACATCACCATCGTTAACGCTCTCCTCTGCGTCTCTGCTAAACGGCTAATATTCGCGGCTAGAGTCAGACAGCCAGGGGGAGGGCGGAGGGCGTGAAGCGTCGCCAGTACGGCCCTGTTAAGCCGCTGAGGGAATACCCTTTGCTGTTGAAACGCGCATCGTCTCGCACATTTCAGGGGCCCGCTTTCCTTTTCAATAGGTATATTTCCCTGTTCGTCTTTCATCTTTATCTTAGGATCCTCTTTTGAGGATGAGATGCTCTGCCATTCTGCCGATTGTGACCGCATAGGTGAAGCAACCGTTCCAAATACTGCGCAGCCTGGGTTTACCTCAAATGCTTCAACTATGAAAAACGTACTCATGTATGAAAGCTGATGTGCTTTAGGGAACAAAGAACGGCCCTTCGCAAAATATTCATCTGGAGAAAAAGGTCGTATCTTACAAGCGGATTGCTTTCCATTCGAATCAATTCAGCTGGGACGATTTCTTGTCAGTGCAAGTGTTGGAAAATTTTTTTGGGAACAATCCCGTATGAAAGACTCTCCCTTCGATATTCGTGAAGCCATGTGTTATCGGATTCTAATTATCCAGGTTTCACTGGATCGGCAGAACTGGGAAAAGGCATGTTCCAAGAGGATGAATTACGTTCAGATTTGTTCGTCGGCGTTCTAATAGTCTCATCTACTTGATCTCATCTGAACGTGAAGGGCATAGGTAGTACTTTTTAGTTCCGAAATTGATGAGTATTGGCTCTACAGTGGTTTCTTTAGGGTATGTGTCACATATATGCTGCCAATTCCGATCATTAATGGTATTTACGCCAATGGTCGTGATATTTTTATTAGGGTGAGCATAATGTTGTCTTTTTCATAATTTCGTGCTTTCCTGTCTAGGGCTAAGGTGAGGAGGTCCAAACTTAGAACGGTCAAAAGGTCACCGCGTGCGGCGATTTGCAATGCCGCTCGGGTGTTTCCCAAGAGGCCCGTCGCGCGGCGAAGGAAGAGACGCAGACGCGGCAAAGGACGAGTCGCAGCGCATAGGCGTCAGGTTAAATAGAGTGTACCATACTACGTCTCATATCGCACAGCACGCGCTGCGACTCGTCCTTTGCCGCATCTGCGTCTCTTCCTTCGCCGCGCGACGGGCCTCTTGGGGGACACCCAAGACGCGCAGGTACCGGAGGCCCGTACACTGCCAAAAGATGCGCGGCCGCACACGGTCGTCAGCGGACGAGTCGCAGCGATGGCGATGTCATAGTTGCGAATCGCAGCGCCGCTAGCCGAAAATCGCTTCGATCCCGGCCGTCTGCGCCAGCCGATCCGAGCGTTGCGCCAGCGAATCGAACGTTGCACCAGCGAATCGAAACTTTGCACCAGCGAGTCGAACTTTAGGTACCAGCGAGTCGAACTAGGTACCAGCGACTCAATAGTGGCGGACCCAACGTTCAAAGGAAGCCCGCCACTTTCAAACAGTGTCCACTGTCAAGTCCCGCCACTTTCAAACAGCGTCCACTGTCACGTGACACTGTTTGAAAGTGGCGGGCTTCCTTTGAACGTTGGGTCCCGCCACTATTGAGTCGCTGGTACCTAGTTCGACTCGCTGGTGCAAAGTTCGATTCGCTGGTGCAACGTTCGATTCGCTGGCGCAACGCTCGGATCAGCGATTCGCTAGCGAATCGCTCGATTCGCAAACTATGACATCGGCCCTATGTGGCGATTTAGCCGTCAGAAATCAATAGTACTGAGGAACTTCGTAAGTTCCGGGAACAAAGCGGGCGTTTCCCGTCGTGTCGCTATTGGCGTTGGGGCGTTGATACTGACGCGCGTTGCGACCGTGCCCTAGCGCCAACGTGGAGTATGGTTCACCATTTTATGTTCCTATGGTCGGGTGCAGCCATACAACAAGCCCCCGGCCGGTTATGGGTCCCAAAACTCTGCATCGCTGGACGCACCCTCCTATTCTTGAATCACGAGATGTGCTATGTTTCAGCGGGCGGGATGCCCACCATGCCCTGGTCAGGGCTTGCTGCACCCGGCCCTGAAAATATTATCTTGCAATGTACTATGGTACGTACCATCACGCACTACGCGCTGTGAAGCGTCCGGTGACCTGCCTGTGTCTCTACCCTCTCGCCGCACGACGGGCCTTCCGTCGGGGTACACCCGCGCTCGCGGCAACAAACTGACCCACCCTTTTGGAACCGATAAAGAAGAGTTCTTATGAGTGCCTCACACTTTACCTTACTGAAGTATTCTTCTGAATGAGGTGAGGACGATAAAGTGAAGGAGAAAGCTTCCAGCTTAATTCATGTGCCATGTTCGAGTCTTGCTTGCGCGACGGTGAAGACATAAATTTCGACGTTACTGATGGCGAACGATCAAACGCACTTTTTCATCACATAATTCTCAGGTGAGTTCAGTACCCAAGTAACCTTTCTAAGGGGTCATTTTACTTGGTCGAAACTCTGTGACGCAGAATGCGCCCTTGGATGGACAGTCATTGATGGCCATTATCCCCTTGCCTTCCATAGCTGAATGTTGGGGAGGAGATGGGGTCCCCGAGCTCGACGGACTACTTGAACTCGGTCGGTACGGTAGGAGAGTGATGACGCAAGTGGTGCAGCTGGTCCAGCAGCTCCGCCAAAGGGCTGGTTTGCTCACCCCAGGACTAAGCCGGGCAGGTCCGTCCTCTCTTTAAGGCTTAGTCCTGAGGTAAGCATCAAATTGAGGCGGTTTTAAGGACCGAGTTGAAGTAGTCCGTCGACCGTCGGGGACCCCATCCCTCCCCAACATTCAGCATACGGCCCCAGCAGAAACGCCAAAGGGCTGGTTTGCTTACTTCCACTTCGATAACCTCCCAAAATCCCTTGTGCGACCTTTCTCCTTTCACTATCTGGTTACTGGGAATGCCTTCAACCGAATGCTGTTGCTAATTTAGGTCAGAGGCTCGTGCGTTTTGCGAAAGACTTCGAAGCTTGAAAAGTGTGCATGTTTCCAAGCTAATGAAATCATTCATTGACTTTTCTAAAGTGAGTTTATGTCTCTAAACCTGGTACCTATCGCTTTTTTGAGTGACCACGGCATTTAGGACATTACTGGAGTAAAATCACCGGACGAGTTACGCTCAAAAGCAAAAATCGTAGTATCCCAAAATTCGCGCATCGTACCGCCAAGCAACAGAATGAAGTTCTCGACTTCTTCAATACCAGTTCAAAAACAGCGCACTGCGACGGTGGGAAATTCGTATACTAATCAACCAACGGAGATGAGAAGCGGGACTCCTGATGCTTATTTCCTGAGAAGATCTGTTGGAGACAGTGTTATCACCAGTGAACAGACCCTACCTTCCGGATACTCTCTAGTGCAGATTCCTGACAGTGAATCTGCGGTTGAGACACCTGCTTCAGCTCCTGTTGGATTGCCAAAATATTATCCAAGAGCTACTTCCAACACCTCCTTCACAAATATGGATCGGCGGCTCGAAAGCGAATGTAAGTAGTGTCTTTACTATCATTTCATCTTACTAGAATTTTACCACTGACTATTTCACTTGTGAGTGAATGCCAATAAACAAGCCTTCTGAAGCCTTCACACTTGTAGGTGCCTATGCGGATAAACCACATAGCAGCATCATCTCCTCTTCAACAGCTGTGCAAGAATTCCCAAGTCTCTGTAGTATTCCGATGACAGAAGACATTACAGAAGGTTTGTGATGTATTCGCTGACCGGGAAGGTCTATCAAATCTTGTCCTGCTTCTTGGAAACAGTTAGTTGCATGTACGGACGCACATGAATGGAACACAGGGCTTTGGTTCATTTTTACCTTAGGCCCTTCCGAATGCATAAAAAAAGTTAAAGGAATCTTCCACGGACCATGGACCAGTGGGCGGGACCGGAAGTGGTTTTGCGACGAAATGCATGGTAGGTACGGATCCACGTTCATGGGAAGGTTTGAAGTGAATCCTGTTCACGTTCGTGCGTTCGACACGTGGATCCGTACCTACCATGCATTTCGTCACAAAAACTTCCGGTCCCGCCCACTGGTCCATGGTCCGTGGAAGATTCCTTTTAAATAAACTCATGTTTACTTACATATTTGACACCAGTCGAAGTTGAAATCCGACTCATTTGACTTTTTGTTTGTTAACTGCTGTTTTAACGCCGCAGTTCGCGTTGCGAATGTTTCACAAGAATGCTGGGTTGTGAACAAAACTTTCGCCCCAGGCGGGACTAGAACCCGCACCTCTCGCTTTCCGGGCAAGTGCGCTACCAGTTACGCTACCGGGGCACCATTTCATCCCAACTCAGCTTTTCATGGTATACGTACCATAGCTTTCAGCACTCACACGTCTAACGTGTTGAGCCGGTTAGCCGATATCGGCAATGACCGCGAGGCTGAAAGCTTTAGCATGAATTTTACCATGAAAAGCTGAGTTGGAATGAAATGGTGCCCCGGTAGCGTAACTGGTAGCGCACTTGCCCGGAAAGCGAGAGGTGCGGGTTCTAGTCCCGCCTGGGGCGAAAGTTTTGTTCACAACCCAGCATTCTTGTGAAAGGTATCACTTTGGTCAGAGGAGGTCCCCTGTGACTATGCACTCATTACACGCGCGCTGGCTATTTTGCGATTTCACGCGAACGCTGATCAGAAATGCAAAACTCTGTCACCACTGGGAATCGACCAAATTTCCTTTCCTTTCGTGATTTGATTTCTTTGGTTTTTTTTCAGTGGGGCACTCAGGAAAATTGAAACAGAGTGTCATCCATGTCTCTACATAATGCAAAAAACCATTTTGTAAAAGGGGAGCATAATGAATGGCTTTCCTTGTGAGATCCACCGATAATTTTACGGAGAACAGAAGCAATTAAGAGGGTTGACACATGGGAACAGCGATGGTATCGATAAAATCCTAAAGCGTGAAAACGTTTGCTCGAATACATCCCTCCATTTGATGAGGCAAACCTCGTACTACCTTGAAGGTAGTTCACGATGAAAAGTCAGTCCATTAGAAATCAGGTAGAGGTGGTCAGTGGTGCAGGGATGAAGAGAAAATCATGAAAACGGCCCAGAACCCGAGAAATGAGACCCTCTGTCCCCTTGATTTCCGCACTGATGCGCCTCTCATTGGTGTGGCCCTTGATAACGCTTCTCTGTTTAAGGGCTAGAGTCAGACGGCGAGAGGGTGGGCGTGCCACGGCGCAAGCGGCACGGGTATGGCTCTGCTGGGCCTCTGGAAGCATGCTCTTCCCTGCAAACACGCATCGTCCCTCACCCTTACAATTAGAGAACCCACCTGCCTTTACTTGGAAAGCTTCCCTTTCCTTGACGTCTGACCTTGAGAGTCCTGGGTGAAACTCGGGTTCGGGGGGGGGGCACGCGATGGCGCGGCGCTCTGTTCGTCTGCTCCTCCAAGGCTTAGTCCACAGGGACAGTTACTCTTTCGCCATTATGTGGCAGTTTCAAAATACGCGCCATCGGTGACTAAGCCTTGGTAGAGCAGACGAAAACAGCGCCGCGCCATCGCGTGGCCCCCCCCGAACCCGAGTTTCGCCGAGTCCTCCTTCAAAATATATTAATTCCAGAAAATGAGGAAGTCTTCGAGTCACATAAACCCAGCACTGGAGGGGTTCCTTCGTTATATGTGCAGCAGGAATATCGATCCCATGATGAGGTAAGAATAATAACACTAGCTAAGCACACAAGCTTGAACAAACAAGGTTACATTACCAGTTGGTAAGTAGGAGATGGGAAACCTAAGTTATAACCTTCTAACTAGAGCAATTCCGACAATTGGAACAACGTGACAATTCGGGGTACTATGTTATGGTGGAGACGGTCTACTGGTTAAAGAAGGCGTGGCCCTGTGGCACAACAGTCGGAATCTATTCCTGAAAATTTTGCCAGTTATCCGGAAATAGATAAAAAACAACGAGAGGGCCTGGGATCTCCCACGGTCGATTTTCCTCTGCGCCTGACCAACAATACTCCACTAACAGAACGGCTCGGTTACAGTCTCCAAAAAATCTCTCCATTTTGAGTAGAACAAAGCTACTTATCAGGATAATACCATACTCAGGATTATGCGCAAAAACAATGTGAGGCTCAATATTTTTTGACGCCGAAAAATTCGAAGCTCTTAATAAACAGTTGCCAGAGGTTTTGCCAAATGTGGCGACGAAAAACATTAAGGCATTTTGGCAGTTTTCGATGTTTTGCGCTTTGTCAAGCCTGAAATACTCTCAAACAAGGTTTTGACAGTG